GGCAGAATGATGCACAAAAACTATTAAGTCATATGTGCACCATAATGCTCTGTATAAAGAAAAAAAATTAAAGGAATTAAAGATTAAGAAAACAATAAAAGATTTTCTCTACTTGCAGAAAAGAAATCAAAGTGTTGATGGTACCACATTAAAAGCAGCATTTCTGTAAATAGTTTTCTTTCTGAGTAAAATTTATACTTAAATGTGTATATATATATAATACACACACACACACACACACACACACACACACACACATATATATATATATATATATATATATATATATATATTTAAAGTTTTGTTTGCAAAGCTATCATCAACTTGTTCTACTTCACTCACTTGTCATCACCATGGGTTCCCTCATGCGTAACATTTCAATAAAATGATATTACTGTCCCAAGCAGGAGCATTACTCATTCCCTCGGTGACTAGTCTTAATCTGACCATAACCTGTACTGGCTCTGACTGATACTTGTGTGTGTATCTCCATTACTTCTGATTTTCAGTGTTCTGATATTATGGTGTGTCTTCTACAGAAACCATGACAATGCTATTTTTTTAATTTCTGTTTTGAATACACTAGTTAGCGTATTTCTATTTCATATTGTTACTCAGATATCTCAGTTTAAATGTATCATAATCATAATTGTCTTAGCTTTCATCATTCCTTGCCTTTTAAATATTACGTATTTTCTTTTTAATTTTTTCTAACTCCCTATTACAGTTCTTCTATTTTATATTATACTGCTACAAGTAATGCTTGAAACTTAAACTATATATTCTTGACTCATTAATGTCTTCTATATCTTGGGCCTTATATCATTTTATAGATATGGACATTTTCAAATCATTTAATTTCTTTTGCACCAATACCATCATTGTAGCATTTCAGTCATTATTTGTTGTAGTTCTGTGTGAAATCTAAGCCCTCTAGACATTGTTAACTGCAGGAGTAATAATTTTACAAATACATTCTTTGGGTATGTGTCCATACTGCAATTTGTATTAGCTTTGTAGTTTTTCTTCTGTCTAAATTTGTGATTCTAATATTTATTTTCTGATTCAACTTTGTCTCAGATTCTGTTCCCCTAAAAGTGTACTGAATCTGCCATTACTATTAGTGGGCTTGTAGATCCCTGACTATTGATTACCTGGACTGGGTAAGTGTGAACAGGTCACACCACTACTAGTTCACTTACTTTTACTAATTGCATAATTTTTTTTAGACTAATGAGATAAACCTTCTTCAAAAATGATAAAAAAAATGAATTCCAGTTCACTATGTGCAGATGCAGATGTGCACGTAAACATGCTTGCTCCTGCTTTGTAGTCTAGGACATATTAGCTTGTTTCTACAAATATATATCAATCAAAATTCCCATCACACATGTAGTTAAGAATAATTAAATAATACAATACATTTATGGCATTGAGACAGATAAACTCTAACTGTAACTTTTCTTATTTGGAACAGCCTCATAGTAATTGTAATATAAATGCCTTTCACAGCAAAATTATACCCTGGCATGTATGCTTAATAGGAATCCTCTTGACCTAATGGCTGAAGATCAATGTCAACTGTGTCTTAGCAACAAATTAAAAGTTAGTACATTCTTGACACCTTCCTCTCATCAGAAACCTGTTTTCTAAGGTCAAAGTTAATTAGCACTTCCCATAATAACAGAGCATCTAGTCAGAGCTGAGAGCTATTCCTCTAAATGCCATCAGAGCAATTGTAGGAAGCAGGGGTTACTTATGATCTCACTTGCAGCCACTTATATTTGATTGTTTGTATGTAACACAGTGAGTCAGAGCAGCTTTTTTCTCAGGGCTACAGTCTAAGCCGTGACTGCCAAAAAATAATAGAACATTTGCTACTGGGCCAAATGGGCAATTCTCCTCTTTCAGATCAATCTATCTGTAGAGAAATTCATGGCGTGTGATCCGGCATAATGCAATCTACTTGGGAAATATACTTCAGAAAGAACACAAGAAAGTGGTATCCTACAGACAAAAATCTACTCATGAAACAAAACATCTTTTGTTAGGTCAAACCCACATTCCCTTCTGTGGTCTGTCCTTGGTCCATTATTTTCTGAATTTTAATTCAACTGTAGAACAATACACTTAAAACAACCTACAATTTCTTGGGGTCCAAAAATAAAGAAAAATCTGAGAACTTGATTTTGACAAAGAAAGAAATACATTATTGCTTCTTGGTAACAAGCTAAGTGAAGTGTTAAAAGAAACGCATCATGTATTTATCTACTCACTGGTGAACAGTGTATGTATAAAAAAATACGTTCAAATATTCATGTTCTCTAGCATTCAAGTACAGCTTTCTAGAAGTAATTTAATGTTCAAAATTGCTAGAGATAAATTTTCTGAAGCTGACACAAATGAATGTAAGGAAAACCTGAGACAGGTAATCATAAATAAAAGTACAACAGTGTTAAACTTTAATATGGGAAGAGAGAGGTAGGTAAAACATGTCATTTTCTTATGTAAAATAGGCCATAAAGGAAATTAAGATAAAAATAGACTTGTACCCACTTTGAGCAATTAATGTGGCATAGACAATCCTATCCCATATTATGAAATGCTTGCAAGTGTCAGTTCATGGGTCATGGGAAATGAGAATATAACATAAATAATTTCATAGCTGTGCTAGACAGTTTTATGTCAATTTGACAAAACCTAAACTCATATGAGAGGAGGTAACCACAATTAAGTAAATGTCGCCATAAGATTAGGTTGGAGGTAGACCTGTAGGGCATTTTCTGAATTAGTGATTGATGTCGGAGGTCCTAGACGATTGTATGTGGGGATACCCCTGGGCTGGTGGTGTTCCTGGGTTCTAAAAGAAAGCAGGCTGAGGAAAATACAGGAAGCAAGCCAGCAAGCAGCACCCCTCCATGGCCTCTGCATCAGCTCTTGCCTCCAGGTTCCTGCCCTGTTTGAGTTCCTGTCCTGATTTCTTTCAATGATGAACAGTGATTCGGACTTTGTAAGCCAAATAAACCCTTTCCTCCCCAACTTGCAGTTTGGTCATGGTGTTTCATCACAGCAACAGAAATCCTAATAAAGATAATATTTAAAACATTTTTCTAAAACATTTGAACACATTTAACAATGCTATTCCTCCTTTAAAAATATGCAGATTAAAATTGTTTACTAACAAAACCAGAGGCTTGTGTATGCTTTTATCTTACATTCAACAACTTGTTTTTCTTTAACAATCAGAAAGATCTAGTGGTTTCCAGCAAGGCAAAATCCCGTGTATTTGCTTTTTAAATCATGTTTTCTCCTCTATATTAAGGTGATATGTTTTTTCCTGTGCTAGGTGCTTGTGATGTGATATATGAAATTATAAGTACTAATGATATGGTGTAGTGAAGTTAGTATCGAACCCTTGAGAGGAAACTAGTGGGTAGTCCTTAGGTCAGCCATAGGTAATTCCATTGGAAGGGAGTAAATGATTCTTGCAAACTTCTTGCTAATTCTCCTAAGGGGTTTGTTATAAATGACTGAGTCTACTAAGACCAAGAATCTTGTCTGCAGTGTAACTGTTTATAACCTGTTTGCTAATGTGAGGTTATGAGGGCAAGGGAGATGCCCACAAAAACTATGCCATGCTGTGTGGATTTTTAACCTCACGAACATGGAGATGCATCTCTTCTTTTGAAACTCATCTTAGCTTGGGTAGTTTGTTATAGTAACTCAAAACTGAAGAATGGAGAGGTTAATTATTAAATATATTACTTTTCAAATGCATCTGCAGCACGCTCTGTCTTTGTACACAGTGATGGCAACAGTTGAAGTCTTGCAACATTAACATGACTCTGAACTAAAGTTATTAATGGACCGGTGAATTTCAGAGAGAAGATATTTACAGAATTTCCTCGTAAACTCCCAATATAATTTTTATAATTACTTATGAAAAAATTTCTGAGAACTGAAATTAAATTTAAAAGCTGTAAACCAAGATGAACATCAACATCCAACAACTTGCTTTTCTTTAACAATTAGAAAGATCTAACGGTTTCTGACAAATGAACATCTAGTATATTTGTCTTTTAAATTATGTTATCTCCTCAATATTAAGGTGAACAGGTAATTTGGTATGGTTTTAGTGTCCCCCAAATTTTCCTATGTTGGGTTCTTTTCCCTTAGTAGTATAATACACTGCTGTAGAAACAACATATATTTTCTGAATTATAATGACAATATTCTTTTAAAAATGTTCGACAAAATGGTCTACAGAGAGCCATTTTTAATGGGGGAAGAATACATCATTAATACATTCAGAGAGATAAGTCTACTTCCAGAAAGTCAAGAGTGTGTCCTCAAAATGATTGACCTTACAATGTGGCAATATCCTTTTCTGTGTTATAACAGAGGAAAAACCAGCAATGACACTTTGAGCAAAATGTGTGATATAGTCTGATGGTGACTGTTTCATATACATCATCTTAGGTTTAAGAAGAGAGATGTCAAAACCTCCCCAGAAAAGACATTTGTTACTAAACTAAAAGACATTTGTTACTAAACGACGGTATGTTACCTTTTATTTCATGTTGACTTGCGTCTCGTCTTCTCTCTAGCTCTTTTCTATCATAATTCAATCTTTTCAAGCACATAATTCCATATTGTAAACTTGTTCTATTTTCAGAAAGGAGAAAACACATTAAATTGCAGCAGCAGGTGAAGAATATTCTGTTATTAATTATGGACAGCTCTACATTACTTTCTAGAAGAGCCCATTTATCAATTACATCCACAATAGTTCCCTTCAATTTGGAAGGATTATAGATATAATTACCTCAAGAATAAAATGTTTCTAAAAGAAAGAAAATATTTGATGCATAGGATATTCACAATTTTAAAAATAGTGAGAGATAGTTATCTATAGTTCCATACATATCTATATGTATAGACACATAATTATACATAGTTATCTGGACAGTTACACATCTGTCTTCAATTTAGCATTTTCTACTATACAGTTTAGCAAATTCGTGTTTTATTCCTTCACAAAGAACTTAATGTCTCTCCTTAGAGACAGGAATAATTTTATAGTCAATCAAAGATTCTTTGACTGATGAAAAAAATGGAGTGAATTAAGTAGCAAGGCAGGGTACAAAATATGAAGAAACAGGCAACAACACTAGGACCAAGCAGTATGTAATAAAGAACAAGTCAGAGTTTCCTGACACTCTGCAGAGAGGGTGCCGGGGAAGAGAAAACAGCATGGCATTCAGAAGAGTAAGATGCAAGAAAGGTTGGGCTACTAGGGGAACAGAACATTATAAATTGTACTGCAGTGTTGTGGATGAAATTTCAGAGATATGGTGATCTTGAGACATGCTATGTAGAGCTGAAACTCAGGCTAGCAATTAAGGGGCAAATACAGTTCCATATGAGAAATCCAGATATGCCAAAGCAAGACTTGCATGTCGTGTATGAGACACAATTGAAATGAGACAATTTTCAGAGAGGAAAGGATGTTAATAACATGACTTCTTCTTATTTTTGTTTTATTTAGAAAATAATGATCTCATAGCATGTATGACATAGGGAAATGGCAATCCTAGAAGACAGAAAAAAATTAAGGGCATACAGCAGTAAGTATAAAAAGGAAACCTCACAGATGCCCAGAGAGAAGATATAATAAAATTAGAGTTAGTAATAATAGATTGAGTAGAAATAAAGACTGTAGAAGAGTATGATAGGAAAATAAAAGAGCTTCTAGGTTTAAAGTAACAATCATTCAATATTATTAATTTCTTTTTTGGGGGGCTGCATTTTTTATTATTAAATTTTTTTAATTCATTTTACATACCAATCACAGTTCCCCCTCTCTTCCTCCTCCCACCTCCCAGCCTTCCTCCTCAACCAACCCCCTCCTCCCCCTCCTCCCACCCCTCATTTCCCCTCCACAAGGGACCCCATGGGGAGTCAGCAGAGCCTGGTACATTCAGTTGAGGCAGGTCCAAGCCCCTCCCTGTGCATCAAAGCTGTGCAAGGTGTCCTGCCATAGGTAGTGGGCTCCAAAAAGCCAGCTTATGCACTAGGGATAGATCATCCTGAGTGAGGTAACCCGGACTCAGAAGGACAAACCTGCTACATACTCATTCATAAGTGGATACTAGGTGTAAAGCAAAGGATAACCAGACTACCACCCACAGTTCCAGAGAAGCTAGCTAACAAGGAGGACCCTAAGAGGGATGCATGGATTGCCCTGGGAAGGGGAAATAGACGAGATCTACATGAGTAAACTGGGGGAGAGGGAGGCAATGGAGGGTAGGAAATGGGGGGTGAGAACATAAGGGAATGAGATGGTTGTGCCGGAACAGGGACAGAGTGGGAGAGTTGGGAGAGTGATAAAGAGATACCATGATAGAGAGGACATGGGGAAAGGGAGAAGTTGGGTGCTAGGGAAGTTCCATGGGGACCCAGGAATCCACAAGGATGACCCAGCTTAGACTACTACCATTAATTTCTTAAATGTTTAGCAGTAGATAACACACACACACATACACACACATACACACACATACACACACACACACACACACACACACACACACACACGATACATTTCTGTGTTACATAATATGACACAAGCATCTGAAATCCCAGAAAAAAGAACATGAGCGTATGTCTCCCTACATGCATATACTGAAGCCTTTACCCGTATCATCCAGAATGGAGATGGGACCTTTAAAATGGAACAACCAATTTAAATGATGTCATCAAGTAGACATTAATATCTATTTTTATTAGAATGGACAATTTGGAAAATCAGACAATAGAAGCGTGTGCTTACAGAGGAAAGACTAAATACGGACACATAGAGAGGATGGGAGACCTCCAGATAAAATGACATGTCCATACCTTCCTCTTTCCCTCCACCACCTAGAGGAGGGGCTACCAGGCTACAACACAGTATTTAACAAACAGTTAAATCATTCATCATAAGCCCTGATAAATGACAGAATATAAATAATCTGAATGAAGGATTTATTCCTTATTATCACATTTTGACAGATTTTAAACAAAAACATACAACAGTAGTTTTTCAAGAACTAATATGCTAATGACCCAAAATACATTTATTTAAGAACCAAAAGGACAATTATGTCCCTCATAGAAGAATTTTTTTTAGTATGTCCTTAAGTTACACAGTTTATAATCACATAGCTTTGTAAAGTTTAAAGCTACAAATATTCATTTAATCTTCATAAAATTTTTGTTTTGTTCTTGTTTGTTTTTTTTTTCATTTTCTTTTATGTGTGAGTGTTTTGCTAGCATGCATATGTGTGCACCATGTGCATGCTTGATACCCCTGACAATCAGAAGAGGGCATCAGATCAGTGGGAACTGGACTTGATGGTTGTGACCCACCATATGGATGCTAGGAACTGAATCTGAGACTTCTGCGGGAGCACCAAGTACTCTTAACCACTAAACCATCTCTCTACCTCATAAGTAATTCTCTAATATAAACTTAAAAGATTATTTTTAAAAATCCAATCAAGCAAAAGCGAAAGTACTCACTATGAGAACAACTCGTATATGTACCTTTTGCATAAACTTCGAGCATATAATACAAACACAGCTCTCCATTTGCAAACCCTTCAGTCTTTGCCTGAGCATTTGTTGCATGTAGATGACACAGACACTTAGACTGAGAAACATTTTCTTTCTACCGTCCTTTTACTGTTTGTGTTAGATGCGTATTGTTTATAGTTTCACTTTCATCATTCTTTTCTGAAAACCTACCGATGGAAACTATCCACCATTTTTAAATGGACACGAAGATCTTTTTTGGTGAGGTGGTCTAGCATTCGTGCATCAACCAAGCATTCCATAAAGTAACTTCTGTACTGAGGCAACCCCAGGCTGGGCAGCCATTCGTTTCCAATCCATTCGTGGTTCATATCTCCATAAGCCAGGGTCTGTAGAAAGACCGGACACTGGAATTGTTTTATAGCAGTCAAGTTTCTTAACCAATAAAATGAGATGGTAAATGGAGGATATTAGCAATTATTATAACTGAAATTTCATCACTATGATACATGTGTCAAAACAAAAAAGAGATAACATTTAACCTGAATGTATTTTATTTACTCTAGCACAAGACAAACTCTGCATAATTTGTTAGAACATTTGCCTGTAAAAATAAGTAGCTTCATTGTGTATTTTAAAACAATAAATTTTGTCCAAATATGTGTCTTGTTAGTAAAAAAAATCAACAATATAGCTAGAGGTATGGCATGCATTTTAAACCTAAAGATTCCATTTCTATACTGCTAGAATTTTTTTATTTCTTTTATTCTTCAAGTACTGCCCCACTTCCCTCCATCGATGATTCTATAGCTATTGTCCTCATGTCATAGCAAACCCTGATGTGAAAGAGAAACCTTAGTAAGCAAATAAAGGAAACACAGGGAGGTTGAAAGACAGCATGCTGACATGTAGTCAGCATTATACTATGGGGAAGAGAATATATTGAGCATTCCATTAGGTTCCTAGAGGAACCCTTGGCCAGAAATCAGTCAATTTAGACTATGTGTGTAAAGCAGACTTGAGCAAAAACTAAGACAGATAAGCTAATTCTTTTTGAAAAGTAAGAACCCATCTTCCCATATAGTGTTCAAACAGGTAAAATAAAAAGTCATATGAACTATCATTACTAAACTCAATTTTTACAAAAAGATCATTTTTGAGAAAATTTAAAGGAAGTATATTATTAATCATTTAAAGGATATTGATTTTAGAGAGTTGTCTATTTAGTAAATAATTGTGCTATCAATTCACAGTTCTAATTATACTATGTAAATATTGCAAGAATTTGGATGTTCTTTTTTTTTAAGAATTATGAAATTTGTTTCAGTGTTAAAATTGACTGTAACCTATGCTACAGCATGCTTAAATATAGATCCTTATAAAGGCACCAAATTTTACTTATTTCTAAATTTATTCTCTCAGTTGTCCAACTTGTAGAAATGCTGAAGAAAATGTGCACTATATTATTTAATATAAATTTCTGTCTCCTGTGATCAATTTAATAATTGGGATTGTCCTCATCTTACACTTGCTGTGCTGACATCTGTCATTCTTGCACCAACCCCCCAAATACTGCACATGACGCCTGAAATCATACAGGCCAATGCTTTACAAAAAGTCTTTGTGAGATTTTTCCCAGAGTTTCAAATTGTATGAATATATACCTTGGTTACATATATTACAGAGTAATTTCAGAGAAATTCAAGTTATAGATCCATCTTTGGAGGAAGAAAAATTACCCTGTTGTAGATACTAACTATGAAATAATAATCATCTTAGTTACAAAACATGGTGTATAACAAAGCACCTATAATATTAAGTATAGTACTGATTTAAGTATATATAGCAGTCTAATTGCTAAGATAAGTGATTCTTTCAAATATTATGACCTACAGTAGTTTCCTAATTTATATTGCATATTTCACTATGTCTTAAAGCATATGAGTTTCCTACCTGGGCCCAGCTTCCTTCCTCAGATTCTTTCTGGGTTAGCAGCAGGAAGTGATTAATAAAGCAGGTAAACATAAATTAATTTCAAGTGACTATTGAAAAAATTCTACCAGAAGCATAATTGTAATATAGTATGTTAAGTACCATGACATAAGCAGACATGCGCATACTTACAGTCATTCAATTTCTCAGATAAAGAGCACACAACAGAGTTTTAGTTAACTCTCATTTAAATACACATAAACACACTGGAGTTATGAGTTCTGTAAAAATTTGATCTATTTTTGATTTTATATAAATTTCCAAATTTAGTACAAACATAATTATATGTTCCTATGTATAATGTAAATAGTTTACAGACCAGAAATTAATAAAATGAATAACTATCTTTCTCTCAAAGCTTAGGGGACAAACATACCCCCAAACAGCCAACCAAGAAAACAGAAGGATGCAAGTAAAAATGCAAATTAGCATGTGACTTTGCATTGCTACCTTTACACCATTACATTATAGATAAGCAAAAATTTTAATGGGAATTAAGGTGAAAGTACTTTAAAATGAAGAGGTAAAATACATGGTGTGTCCAAATTTGATCCTTTCCATTAAAAAAATGACTCTGTAAAAACATCACATTTTTAAAGCTGGTGATTAGAATCCTTGAAGTCATTTCAAACGGTGCTTTTAAAAGCCAAATGAATATAACAACACTTCAATATTTTTTTCCTAGAAGTCTACATGTTGGATGATATAGCCCAAGAAACTACATAATTACATTAAAAGTGATAATTCAACATAAGCTTTTCTACAACTGATTTAGTAATATATATTCCTATGACCATGTGCTAAGAGGTATTAAATACCAAATTTCCAGTGTCCCTAAATTTTAATAAATTATTTATTACTATTTGCATATTACAACAGTGGATCATAGACACTTAGGATAAGAAGCACATGACAATCTAACTGTTTCATTTTCAGTTGTCAAACAAGTATACTAGAGTAAATATATAATCAAAACATCAGTTATCTCTGTGTGTAACTATATAACACACCTCATTTCTTTGGTTTATAGTATATCAATTCCTGTTTTTTCTTTTTTCTATGTATAAACACTTTTGTTTGGGTTCAACAAAGACTAACCGTTTTTGCTGGAGCTGCAAGGTTTTCCATTTCTTCATGGGTCACCCAGACATTGCCTGAAGGCTAGAGAGGAGCCCAAAGGAAGCAGTGTCATCCATGGAGGGGAAACCAGGGTAGAGAGAAAGGAGGCACCTCTGTCAATCAACAGCATTGCATACACTACATCAGTCCTGCTCTACACATGCATCATGAGTTGACACTCTAGAGCCACTTTTTCGGTTTCTCAAGGGACTAATCGGACAGAGACATGCTATGATGTTAATATTCTAACAGGTCTTTGGCTATTAAATAAAATAATGCTTTGGAAAAATTTCATGTTCCAAAAGAATGTAGTCATCAGGTTCAATTTTATAAAGTGACAAACTAACCATAAGATATTGTAGCATTGCTCTTTTTCTTATAAGGGGTTGACTCAATATATGAGTTGTTTATCAAGGGAATTTCATTCACATACTTTTATTCATCAATGTCCTGGGAAAGAGTAGACTGACTGTTACAGAGAAGATGTAAACCTCACAGAGTGTTTGAAAAATGCATTCCCTGCATTCTTGGAGAGGAAAAAGACCTGAAACATTATTTTGAGATACTATTGATTTAATAAAGCAATTTCTCAGCCTCATCAATACTGTCAAGTTCCCAAACATTCATTTCCTGATTATTCAGTCATATCTTATAACCATTTGTTGTAGTTTGAACGTGAGATGTCTTCCATGGGCCCATGTCTTTGAACAATTAGTCTCCAAATGGCGACAAAGATGAGGAAGGATTGTGGAACCTTTAGGAGGTAGAACTTTATTGGAAAACTGAGTCACTGTGGTTAGGCCAAGCAGTCTACTTCTGTCTACATGTGCTTCCTAAGTACGGGAAAAGCTCATCTGATTCCTGTTCCCACCACCATATTTCCCTGCCTGCTGCCATGCCTTCCCCACCACAATGGACTGTATCCCTCTGAAACTGTAAGACAAGGCAAATTATTTCTCTTTTCACTTGATGTGTGAGCACCAGAGGGGTAACAAAGACACCATTATAATATGTTTTCCTTGTGTTTGTGAGCTGAGAGCTTTGCCCCAGCGTCACACCCATGCCATGGCAGAGAAACACAGAATAAACTGATTTTTTTTAATATAATGCACTGTTCTTTTGGAAAGTCTCTCCTTTTTATCCCCTCTCTAGCCAAAGAATCTAGTATTATCTTTCTATACAATATAATTGATAATTTAAATTTAAAATCTGCTTATTCTCATGGGGACCATAATATTAAGGTTCCTTCCACTGGATACCACTCCACATGAAATTTCACAATTTTTTTCCAGGAAATATGTATGCCAATTTCTCCAAATCATAACACTTACTGGTTCTTTGTTTTAGAAGGAGCAGAAAAGGCAATATCCAAATATTACAAGCTACTCATGGAATGTTCTACACTTCACCTAATACCATGTTTGACTTTTCTCATAGATAATGAATAATATATTTTGATATAAATTTAGAAATAATTATATGGAAAGTAAAATGAGTATCCTTTGGTATGAAAGAAATCTTACATAAATTATATATTAGTGAATCATACATATTATTCTTATATGTATGTTATATATAATAATATGCACAAATGTATTTCTATAACAAAGACTTATACTGTGAAGATTCTTAATTTTAAATAAATCAGAAATGTTAAGAGGGCTAAATATCATATATATGCACAGAATTCTCATACTTAACTGCTTCAGAATTTAGATATAGCCAATTTTTCCTATAGAATAAAATTACACAGTTGTGGAACAAATTTACAATGCAAGAGTCACTCATATCATTAAAAGTCTCACTAACTCTGACTTATAAAGCTTCTCCATTGATTCTGGCTCCAAATAATGATGATCTTGCTCTTCCCATAATGACCTTGACCAGTATTATCTCTAATGGAGCAGAACTGTTCCACCAGTTTTCTGAAATTCTGCATTGGGTGGTACCCAAAGTATCCTGGGATTGGTGAGATTCTAGAAGCTATGGTTGTATAATTATCTTCACCTACAAAATGAGCATAATTCCAGGGCAATTTGTGAAAACATGATTGCCAAACTTTTAGAAGTTGCATGTTAAGAAGTTACATTTCATGTGAAATGTACAAGGTACTTTCTTAAAATGGGCTTTTCTCTACTTTCTCTTGTGTGTGTGTGAGACGGAGTGTGTGTGAGCATGGTGTAGGCACATATTTTCAGTGTCTGTGCAGTTGGGTGCAAAGCCAGATGAAAGTTTTGAGTGTCTTCCTCTTTCTGTCCTGTTCCTTTGAGGCAAATCTTTCCCTGAACACAAGGCTTGAGCATTCTTGGCAAGGTAGGGTGTCAGCAAACTCTAATGATTCTCTGCTCTGTACCCATTGGAGGAGTTTAAAACATATGCAAGATTCCTGGTTTGTTATGTGAGTGCTTGGATCATAAAACTCATAATTATATAGTGAGCACACTTCAACACTGAACCATCTCCACAGTCCATGATGCATACATTTGCAAAAAAAAAAATTTGCCATATAATTTTGTGAAACAAAAACACTAAATAGCTTCTCTACAGTCCACTCAGGTAATCAGTAGTTGAGGCTTGGGGTTGTTTGTTTGTTTGTAATCATGTGTTTGTCGACAGTATCTCACTCTGAAGTCCCTCCTGACCTATATCTCACCAAGTATTCTAGGCTGATCTTGAACTCATAGAGTTCACCTGCCTCTGTCTCTTGAGTCCTGTGATTAAATACATGAACTACCATTCCAGAATAGCTGAAGTTTTAATGGGTTTATTCAGCAACCAACCTCACATCCAGTAAGTAAATTAGTCAATCAATTTACTTTCTCCCCAGTACCTTCAGAGGACACAGTTCTCATCTGAGTGTCAGTTACAGGTTCAATGCTTCAGAGATGAGCAGAACACCTTGTCTAGGAGGCTATGAACAATCAAAAGTATCTTGGTCTTGAAAACGAGGTTGAAGGACATACTAGTAGTGGTTTGGACAAGAATAAGGAACAACATCAAAGAATCTGTGGCTCTCTGAGAAGCTTACTACCATAGCAGTTTATGCTCAATTCTCAAATAGATGTGATCCATGAAATAAATATTACTATCCATCTCAGTGGCCAACATCATCTAGCAGGTGATTAATAAGGTCCCAAGTGCATTTCAAATTACTATGCTAGAAGCCTGAGTTCCTGTATTGCCACTTTTCAGTAATTGCCCTAGAATGATGGCAAAATGTTTTTAAACATCAAATTCTCCATGTCTCAAGAAGGACAAAGTACATATTTCATACTGGATTAAATCATAACACAAGAGCAGACTAGGATGAGGAGGTAAAGCTGGTCCATGAGGCTAAATTTAAGGAAGTATTCATTTTCAAAGTCATGGGAAAGCGAGGTTGGCACTGATAATGCAAGCTTCCTTAAACTTTGAGCTTTTCTTGGCTTGTTTAAGTGAAGACTGGGTAGAATACTTACAAGGCATTATTAAGTGAGACTTAGGAGGAAAAATCCTAAAGGATGTTATGAATTCTAGTCCGTACCTAATTAAGTCATTCAGGAAGAAGCTATGGCAGGAAAATAAATATTACATGAACTCAAAGTATAACACCCAAAAGTTAATCAGGGGAAATAGTTTTCCGACTGTCAACATTATAAGAAATCAACTGTCCAGACCTCAGACTATTCATATATATATATATGAATATATATATGAATATATATATATTGCTCAAAATACATTTTGTTATTAACTCTGTCACTTTGAAGTATTGTTCACTTTATAGGTGAATTACAAAGTAAAGTAACTTAAAATTTACTATTTAAATCTCTGGAATGATCTTAAAGTTGTATGTGTTTGTGGACACATGTATGTGTGCAGGTGATCCACAGATCAGTGATTTGGATTACTGACTCTCCAGCCCCTGGTATATTTTTGAATAGAATTTTATGTGAAATTTTTGTTTTTCAAAGCAAACGGCATTTGAAATATAAATGGGCAAATGGTTCTGTGAAGATGGAGTACAAGGAAGAAAATAAATGCAGTAGAGTAATTTTAAGAGGCACAACTCTACTTGCAATATGCATTTTGCATCAGTATATTGCTTAATGCATATGAGCCCTATAATTAAAGAGCTTTAAATCATTAGTAAAAAGGCAACTATCCCTTTAATTCAATGGAACACTGAAAATTTTCGGAAATGCTCAGACAGCTACCAGAATAGATTAAACCATTAAGTTTACAAGTAATTTAAAAAATTTAAATATAAGCAGTGAGATAACTAGTGGCTAAGACAGGGGGAATGGCAACATGGTTTGACATTTAATATGTTAAGAAAATAAATTGTCCATATACAATGTGGCTATAAACACATTTTATGCAATAATGTATGTACATGTACATATTTTGCACATACTGGAATTATGAAATGAATTAAATATTTTGGTAGTGATGTTTGTATAAATTATATTATCTCTATAAAGAAGAGAAAGATTAAATTTATATTTTAATACTTGAGAAATATATTTATGCTACATTACTAATTATGAAAGGAAATCACAAAGTACTATGTACGACAATAAGGAAAAAAGGACAAACAAGTTCCTATGAAAAAGTTAATGAAAAATTAATAAAAAAGATTCTTTTTTTATACTCTGCGTTTGTCTCACATGTAG